ATTAAGGAAATAACATAAACAATTATATAAGAAGAAAAATATTTTAATAATAATTTCCTAGAATGTGTGGCCGCAGCATACTTCTTATATTGCGACGTTTCTGAGATGCACGTCCGCGCGCGATCTAATGTCGTTGAGAGTTAAGCGATTGTAAAAGAAAAGTAGACAGCATTTCAGAAATCGGCTCAAAAAGATTCTTTTATTTTCCATCGTCTCAATACAGCGAGACACAGAAAAAACAAAAAAGATAGAAGCTCTGATTGTAATCGGTGAGGATCCGTACGGACACGCCCGGCTGATTCCGTCGAGCGAAACAGCGAATTTATCCTTTAGACTCTGTCCTTGTTTCTATAGTCGTTTGTTTCTAGCGACCAAAAATACTTTCTCAGCGATCTCGGCTACGTGTATCATAAAGAGGAAAGAGACATTCATGATAATACATAAATTTTATTAAATTATATTAATCACATACCTTTCTCATAATAACGTATAATAGCAAAAATAATTTCAAAACGTGAAAGTTGAGATTAGAATGAAAATTTTTCAGCCATCTGTTTGCAAATCAATAGCTTGTTTATTGGCTTCATACTGTTTGGGATACAAAGTACCCCAATGCAGAAAAAACACAATGGAATACATTGATCATGGAATGATAGGAACAATAATAAAGGAAAATCCAGCTATAGACAAATTCATCAGGGATCGCAATCGTACCCGTCCTTAAGAGTATAATGTATCGATATGTGATCTAGTAAGTATGAAAATTATTTTGTAGATAAAATTTAATTATCCTTTATTTTGTTCATTAATAATATATTACATATAGTATTGAAACATTATCGTTTATCATTAACAATTTATTATTAATAGTATTATATATCACTAAATTTTAGTTTAACGTTTGTGAATTTGTTATATTAATTTATATGAACAACGACATTACCTAAAGAAATTTTATTTGAGTTTTAGAGTACAAAGCTAATTTTTCGGAAAGATACGGACATTATTTTAGCATCAATTTGATTTAGCATTAGCAATCCATATGAATGCAATGAAGTGTTAAAAAATTATTATTTTACGAGGGATATCCAGAAAATAAGTTTCGTTTTTTTTACAAATAAAGTTTTTATTGAAAAAATCTAAAATTTACATGGATAATACTTGACAACTTCTAGTCTTTTTCTACATAATTCCCGTCAATCTCAATACATTTTGTATATCTGGAAACAAGCTTCGAAATCCCTTCTGCATAGAAACTTCCCGCCAGTTCTTTAGTCCAGTTAGTTACAGCTGTCTGAACTTCCTCGTCGCTTTGGAAGCGTTTTCCGGCCAAGGACTCCTTCAGTTTCGTAAAAAGATGGTACTCCGATGGTGCTAGATCCGGGCTATACGGTGGGTGGGTCAAAACATCCCAACTAAACTAATTCAAAAGTGCAGTTGTTGAAGCAGCGACGTGCGGCCGAGCATTGTCGTGAAGAAGGGACACACCAAAGGGATTTAAAATCTTGAGCAAAAAGAAACTGAATGATGCCGCGCAAAACAACTCGAGAAGGAATCGGAATGGAGGTGGCGGGACGCGAAGTGGAGGACTCCATTTTGATAACCTCTCCTGACCGTGTTTCACGAGCTACTGACGCCGAACACCGCTCATTCTATTCGGTAGCTTCCCCTCTTCAATGCTGTGTTGCCAGCTCGCTCATACATCGACCTTACTAAACGTATAATACAAACGGAACTTATTTTCTGGATACCCCTCGTATTATTGAGATAAATACATGAGTTTAAAATACGTATATACATGCATTATTTTAACATGTACAACTTTGATAATTATTAGTATACCTCAAATTTAGTTTTTACATATACTATATTATATATTACTTCCAAGACAACGATATCCTCTGCAAATATGTTCTGTCGCTGTTTAATATAATCTTAACGGTGCGCAAAAAGCATAATTGTTACAAGTAATGATAAATGTGATCGATAAAAGACGATTATGTATAATTGTTTCTAAATAAATTATAATTTTCATTATTCTGTATATACATTTTACTTTTTATTTGAGATATAAAGTGCTTTCATTTGCGTCCACCTTTAAAGTATAGATTTTTTTCATATTTTCTCATATTTTTATTATATACCTGAGCAATTTATGTAAAGAGAAGTTAGCTTTAAAGAAATCGATATATATTTTATACTATGTTATATATTACATTAATGTGTAATAATTATTGTATAATATAATATAACAATAAATAATATAAAATATTTATTTGTATTTGTTGACATGTTTATTAATGTATGAACTTATGCATTGTAATATAAACATATATCTGATTCGTGATGTGTTACCTGTATGATATATATAATCTCCCCAGTATCCGAAAAATTTGAATTTTGGATTCGACAATGATGATTTAGCAATTCGTATGGTCATTCCCGAATCCAAAATTCTCCATTTTTCGAATACTGGGAAGATTAGAGCATTACACATACGATTTGATACGATGCACTTTAAATGCATCTTTTAAAAACAATTCAAGTTTATGCACGTCAAAAAACAATTCTAATGCACCTTGATGTATTGCATTTTAATTCATTTTGGATGTAGTTTTCTGCAATTACACTGCTATGCAGTTATTATGCAATTTTTAATCAATTCAGTTTTATGCAATTTCACTGCTATGCAATTATTATGCAATTTCATGATGAGATGCATTTTATGAATTTTCTTAACTTTCAGTTTTATTTGTGTCCTTATGCAATTTTGCGCATTTTAATGCATTTTTGGATCGTTCTAATTTTATGCACTTTTGAGGTGATGGATTTTTATTTATGTTTGTTGGGGTGCAATTTTTATATAAATTTGATGCGATGACACTTTAAGTGCAATTTAGCAACAATTCAGATTATGCACGTTCGACACAGTGCAATACTTATGTACCTTTGATCTACTGCATTTTAACGCATTTTTAGACCGATGCAGTTTTATGCAATTTCACTGCTATGCAATAAAAAAATAATTAAATAATTGTTATAAATTATAAAATAATTATAATAATATTATATATATTTTAATGTAAAGAAGAGGCATACAAATTTTTGAAGTTTTTAGAAATAGTTTGATTTTGTTAAATATAAGTTAAGAGAGATTTATAGGAAAGAGTTTTAAATAATGAAAGTAATAAAAATATACATAATTTATTTCATCAAAATAATCCTTTTAATGTCAGGCATATCATTATTAAAATTTATTATAGAAAAATTATGATTGAAAAAAAAATATAGAGGGGTAAGGTAAATTAATATAAAAATTGTAATTTGTAATAAAATAATTAATTAGGATATAGTATTGTGGGGATCTTAATCTCTACAATTGCTGCGAATTCAAGTTACGCGTGCTCTCTAGAGCTATTTTCTCCCCTTCGAGCGGCGCGGACGCTAGAGCTAAAGCGGCGACCCCACGAGAGGACGCAGAGACTGAGCGAGGGGAGAGACGCGTGAGAAAGGACATTATTGTTTTTGAGCTAAGTTAACGAGTGTCACATTGAAAACCTACGCCTCGATACATTTATTCCGTTAGGGTCTTTCACGAGATCCTACATAATTTGGGGGTTCGTCCGGGATCGAGCTAGGTTTTGACGGTGACGAGAACGAC